GCGTGATGTATTGGTAGGGCTTTTTATTAAAAAAGAACTATTCAAAAATATGCTGTAATTGCTGACATCTTAGGCAACAAAGAAGTGTGTTTACGCTTTATTATAATCGTATAGATATTGTCAAATAGTGTTGAAGTTTAAAAAAACACAAATCCATGAAATAAGAACGAGAATTGATCAATTAATTCTGAACTGATATACGACGAGTAGAATGTCAATTGTAATGTTCGCTCTACTATGGGAAATTGTTAATTCCATTGAAGCGTAAGGTATAGAGGAAACCACATCATCCGCTTCTCTCTCGCTGCAATGCCTTGGCAGATTTCCAGTCAACGATTGTATTCTACTATGACGATTATTTCTATCGACATACAGTTGAAATTCCATTGTTGAAAAAATTTTAAACGCTTATCACACTTATATCGAAAATATTATCTAGACGTTTATATGTGGTTTAATAATAAATCCATTCAAATAAACATTTAATTCATTACTTTAAAAACAGAATGTCTGTTTGTGCTGACATTGAGAAAGTAAATTAATCGATTTTTTCAGTTGACCTTTGATTTGTGGTCTAAACTAAAATCCGAACGTTTTGTATTTGCGTGTATTGAAATATGTTTTTAAAGTAATTAATTAAATGTTTATTTTAATGGATTTATTATCAAACCACATATAAACGATATAATATTTTCAATATATGTGTGAAAAGCGTCTAAAGAGGTCAATACCTCATTTATACTATTTGACACCACGCTGAGTTTTAAATGCGACAAAAAGCGACGCGAGTAAAACTCGGGAGCGAAGCTAGTTTAAAGATAAAAAAATCACGATATTTTTTATTCTAAGGCAATATTTTACAAAAGTTGAAATGCGATATTGAGTTCTTAAATGTCTTTGGAATCGCTGTAAGATTCAAAGTTAAGCGATAATTTTTAACGTCATTCTTAGAACGTTATTTATGAATTGGTATGTCTTCTCAGAATTGCCTGGGATTTCGATAGCTTATAGAAATTTATTGAAGATTACATTAAATTGAGTTCTGTATAAAGGTTAAATTATGACTTTGACGTTATTGAAAAATAATTGAGTTATTTAATTCTGAAAATAACAGATAATCAATTCAGATTAAACTGATTTTATTGCTTATTCTGAAAAATTTATTTCACTGTTATTTCCCACCACAAATAGTTCATTCATTAAGTTCAATCTAGCGAATAAATTAATTATGAATACACAAATATTCCCATAATTATTAATAGCAAAATATTAATTTGAATTCTATTATTTACAATCTGCAAACAATATTAATTACAATTAATGATTTACTATGTTATTGATACAAAGAGTATAAAAGTAAAACAGTGAACACTTTCATAAGGTAGTAACAGAGTTAAAAACAGCGAATTTGTTTGATGAAGTAATCGCTTATCGAGCGTCAATGGCTCGGGAATTAAGCAGTTGACATGTAATCTACAGGTCCTGTGTTCAAATCTTAAACCAATAAACAAATATGTTGTTCGATTTTCAAATTGCATACATTTAATATACATTCTCACGATGAAGGATAACATTGTGAATCAACCTGCACCTATTGGCGATAAAATTTAAATGTATGAAGTACGAAGTCAACCCGCATTGTACCAGCTTGGTTAACTATAGTCTACTCACCTTTAACTTAGGGTAGGTTCGGATTTCCACAGTGGGGACATATAGTGTATATGAAGCTTACCTAGATTGATAATTAGTTCGAAATTTATTTCGAACTAGTTGTTTCTCGCCACTTCGTCCACGCATTATTAACATAAAAAGTAGCTTATGATATGCCCGTATATATCGGCTACCCTTCAACAGGAGCAAACTCGGCTTGCGGACAGACAGCCAAAAAATTTTAATTGCTATGTTCATTATCAGCAAAATATATACTTCATCTTCCCGTAATCTGGAGTTTTTCGTTTGATATACCGAATAGACAGTCCAATTTCATTATGGGTATAGATATAAATAAATGAAATTTTAGCATATCTATTTCTCTTCATTTACATAGTCATATTGAATTTCATGAGTTCGTCATTATACTCGAATGTTGATGGTACAACAATAAATATCCGGCCTTTGAGTTCAACAACAACCGGAGAATATTTTTATTAATACACAATGAGACCAATAAGAAAGGAATACACGGAATCGTATGTAGTTTTGTAGTAGAGAATTGATTTAATTATATCACAAGGAAATACGAGAACAATGACGAACTTATAACAAGCTCTAAATGCAAACTCTTAACTTTTCTAACTATAATAACTTAGCATACCCTAACTCAGTCTAAAACAATATGTTAAGCAACATCTAAATACAAACAACAAGTTATAACCTAACGGAAATATTTATACTAAAGTTTGACTATCGAAGTAGTACCGTATTCAATTTAAGTTTATACCTTTAGATAATAATACATACGGATTCAATACAAAATAATTACAATATACAAACTGCACTGTACTTGGAAAGTCTTTACGAAGAGATTACTTGATTGGGCATTTAATTTCTCAAGGTAGCAGTTAAGTGAAACAAAAAAGAGGTAGTAGAAATATAAAATCCCTCGCCATAACGTGAAATAATGTAGAACTAATTTCTTTATGATCATTAGAAAGTGTTGTTTTGAAGCCGATTAAAGCGCTCTCGGGAATAAATCTTTAGTTAGGAAAATGTAACTGAAGTGAAATTAATTTTTAAACAAAGAAGTATACAATATTTAAGTAGGTCTCGTTACTTTAAACAGTAACATTTAAATAATTCTCTGGCGTGTAACAGTAGGAACTTTGTGAACTCGCAAACTTCTTAGCGCAATGTATTCATGTTTGAACAACGTTTCATGCTCGTACGTGTTATATGTTAAACAAAAGAAATCAGGACGTGTACAAAAGTTATTGCCATGACAATTTGATACTTGGGATTCTGGAGCGCGGCCAGGTTGTGCGATAATTCTATCTACTTGCTATTTATGTCGCTCTCTGAAACTTTCTTTGTTTTACAATAGAATGAGAAAAAATGTTTTATATGTCTTCGTATTTTGTCTAGTCCCTTTTGTTTCTTATTGAGCTGTAACTTACATCACAATAATTTATTTTATTGAAATAAGAATCGATACAGGCCATAACAATAAAGAATTTAGTGTGTTTTGTTGGATAAGTATAGAATAATTTGAATATATAGTTTTAAACAATTAATATAATTGTTACCAGCGTATTAACTTCAACAACTAAAAAATTGCTTCCACCAGAAAAGCACGCTGTTACAATACGTCTTATGACATTTGATAGCTATCAATAGGGACGTGACATCTATGCCGATAATCTAGTGTTGCGCCAATCCTACAGCGCAGTGGTAATTTTCTTCTTAACAAAAAATACGAGTTGTTTCCACGCTTTTATTCGCATGACATTAGAATTTTATTTTATTGTTTACATTCTAAAATGTCAAAATTCAAAATCTCAAATGACAATAACCTTTTCTATTGGCTGGCAATTACCGTTACCAAGGCAATCTCGATTCTTTGCTCTTTGTATTTTTTGTCCCAATCTCGCATGATAGTTTTTTCTAATATAGTCACCCTCTAATGAAATAGTGTGGAAACATGTATTCTATAAGGTAACTTAAGTGCAGGGCTTTTCATTAAAAAATGTGTAATTTAAAAACATACTGTGATTGCTGACATCCTACATAACAAATGACAATGAAACAGAATGTTTGATTACATTTTGTTACAATTGTATAGATCGATATAGACATTAACTTACACAATAGTTTTGCAATTAATGGATGTCACAAACTTATTAATGATAGAAATACATTTCGTAAAATATTCATTTGTAAAGTTGTTCGTTCACATTACTTAATTGTAACCGAATTACATTAAAATTGTACGTAGTTCGCCGCAGGGAGAAGTGTTGCCTTTTATCTATTTGTCATCTAATGTCAGTACACGCGAACGTTTTATGTGGCGAGCATTTTCCACTTTGTTACATTAGTTTTCGCTACAAAGGGTCTGAATATTCATTTGCATTTAACATTAATAACGTTTAATAAAATGTTACAACCATTTCTTTTACAAACAGAAAAAAAAATGTTTTTATCTCCGTTAAAATAGTGAAATATAAAAAATGGCTTTCATTAAACTAGGTCATGTGTTATTTACCTTCTTAAATTCTATGTTACAACGTAATGTGATGTAAATGTATGCAACAAGATTGAACGAAGGCATAATCTTTGTGTCAGTACCGCAATGTATACAGAACACAGCGATGCATAAACATGAATCTGTATCGGAACTCTCCATTTCTTCATTCATTCAATTGTTTGCTTAATTACTTACATTTTCCGCTCTATTCCTAGGAATACATCACAATTGAAAAGCTGTATTTCATAAATATTTACCTGATATTAAATGTATTTTGAGCTTGTAACTGAGCCCAATTATAGCTGGTATGTAAAGCGCGAGCACACCTTTGACGAAACTATCGCATAACTGTTTAGTCGCGCTTTGGTTTCTATGAGCTTATATGGAGTAGAGCACACTACTCGATGTTTGATTTTGCAACTAAACAATAGAACGGGTAACGAAACAATCGACAATCGCACAATAGTTGTGATAATTTAGTCCAAGGTGTGCGCCCGCTCTAAAAATGGTTAATGTCGTTTCCGAGATAGCCGATTTCCTACAAGCATGAGGTACAAACTCTAAATACTTAATTTAAGCACAACTATATGCAGATTGTTGCTTGTATGTTGATTGTCAATGCAATGTGCTAGTTTCTTAAGGTATGACGAAACTCCGTCACTCAGAGACATTCCAAGTTGACTGCGATACATTGCGCTCGCTTGAGGGAATGTTTGCGGTGTCTGAAGACGCTACAATCAAATGAGAATACTACAATAGTACTCTACGTCAAAGTGGATTGGTCCGAATCTTATGTAGGTTACACACGTTACGGTTTAGAGATAAACAAGTTTTATATTACATTTACCTGTAAGGTTAAGAGCCGTCGCAAACTTTTGACTAAGCGATCGCATAATTGTTGTGCGATTGTCGATTGTTTCGCAGGTAATTCAACTGTTAAGTTGCACAACTAAAAATGGAGTACTGTGCGCACCTCATTGTAAGGTCATAGGAATCAAAGCAAGACTAAACAGTTATGCGATAGTTTAGTTTCTCTTAATATAAGATTAAACCTAACTCAAACCTAACGTGTGTAGCCTTACAACGTTCATTTTTTATTCTTTTTATTTGTTATAAATAACTAGGGACAATGTTTAATTGGGTTATAGTAATTTACTTGCAGTATAGAAAAAATAATTAAACAGGGCGTGGGATAGGGAAAATTCCATTATAGTATGTTAAGCCAATATATTGCGCTAAGTTATAATTAATATTATTTCTTTTAGATCCTTAGGGGCTATTCACTGGCAATGTGACGCACGCAATTTGTGCAAAACTAACTTAACTTGAAAAACAAGATCCCGTGGGAGCTCATAGTAGTAGTTACGTATTGTAAAACCTTTGTTTATACATAGTAACGTTTGGTTTTGTAACTACGTACTTTCTGTTTCTAGGAACGGTGTATTGCAACTAATATTGCTACTCCACGAATTTAATATTGTACAATATGTAGAAATATGTATGCTATATTGTTTAGTATGTCACAATAAATTTGAGCGCCTAACCACTAATAGATTAGTTATATGAGTACATCGTAGTGACGAGCGGTTTGCAGAATTAATTCCGAAACAGATCATATACACGGTTACACACACATATACTATTCTCCATTGTGGGCGTGTGTATGTCGAAGATAATGAATAAAAATCGTGAAACATTACAAACACCATCCTTAGTAGATCACTATCTTAAATAAAAATTATGCAACACGTTTTAATCGGATTGCAAACATTTACAGAGATTAACCAATTGATTTTATAATAACAAAACGCATCATTCCAATATTGAATGACAATTCAGTCATTCGATCGCCGCCGTGACATCTATCATATCCGATGCACCTTCAGCCAGTACCCAATATTATTAATGGCCTGTAACTTTAATCGTTTAAATATTAACAATCATTTCGCGTCGTTAAGTACATGTAGTAACCATTTAGATAATTCAAGAAAAATTTGTTGACAGCTCTGGCTTCAGCGCACAAGATCACTCAATTAAAAGTGCCGCTGTACGCAGACCCGCGCCGAGCAGCTGAGCTCAGTTGTCACTTCGAAATGGATGACCAGAAACTACATTCCGTCAAATGGTACAGAGACACTCATGAAATATTTAGATACAATCCATCACAAAAGGTACGTAACTAACTATACAACTACTTTCACTTGCGTTCATGTTATTTGTCGGTTAGTATTTCTTTTAACCATTACAGGTGAACTTGAAAAGGCTTTTGCTAGGTTCACGACAATAGTCTAAAGGGATTTAAACCTTTAACCGCAAGATCGGCAGTATTAGGCTATTGGTCAATAATTATGTAGAAATAAGATTATTTGATTAAGAATTCGCTTAATTTGCCGTTTATCTTACGGACCCTATCTTGAAATTAATTTTAGAATTGAAGAATAACCTTAAAAACGACAAATAAATAAGACCTTTCGGCTTGGACGTAATGATGTTTTTATTCGCATTCCGATTATTACATTTTATTGAAAATCTAAATTTTAAAGATTTTGTAAAAGTTAATGTATTCAGTAATATAATTATGATCTATTTAGACACATTACTTATTATCTGTTGTCTGATATCAGTATTTATTCCAGCCTCCAATCCGACTGTTCAATGTGACGGGCATTATGGTGCAAGGCGGAGAGTGCGTGACCGACTCGTGCCTGGTGCGCGTGATGCCGCCGCCGCTGGCCACGCGCGCCGCCTACACGTGCGAGGTGTCCACTGAGGGACCTAAGTTTCAGATAGCAAGACAGGCCAAGCACATGACTGTCGTCGGTAAATTACTTTGAATGATTATTGTCGAACATGTTTAATTTTAGCTGAGCAATTATACACAAGGCAAATACAAATATAAATGTTCGTATTTATTTGATTTTTACTAATTCTTACGTAGTAACTGTATTATACAATTTAAGTTTGCTACGAATGAATGTGCATTTTTCGTACTCAAATAAGGTCTCCTTGCAGCTATGCCAGAGAAGGATCCAATCATAATTGGAGCTCCAAAACTAGTGAAGCCCGGGGAACAATTGCTATTGAACTGCACATCGGACTACTCCCTGCCGCCGTCCGACATTAATTGGTACATTGACAATGAACTGCAAAAGGTTTGTAAGCAATCTTGTATTATCACTCCGGACCGGTTGCACTAGAGAGATAGCTAACTCGATTTAACAGTTTGCTCTCGTGCTCCGACAATTGAATCGGAAATCCAATCCACTTTGATTAGGTACACTATCAATTAAAGTGATTGAGAACAAGGAAATAGCCACAAAGGTGCGATGTAACAATTTACTGTTATGTCGAATAGGGAATCGGTGACCTGAGACATTAGATCAAAAAAATATGCTAAGTCGTTTTATTGCGATTTTTGATTACTTAAACTTATAAAGAAAAATAATTCCTTTAGTAAACTTATAACAAGCACTTACAAAATTGATTTTTTTTCTGACCAAGTTAATGTTTTAGCCTGAAATCTGGCAACGCACTGAATTAAGTCCTCCAGAAGTGGGAGGATTGCGAGCCTCGTGGAGAGTACTTCGAGTCTCCGTTCCTTCGGGAGCTAGCGGGGCATTGCGAGTTCGTTGCGAAGCGGTATTGTTAGTGGAGCCACCGGTAGTGAGGGATGTGGCCACTATAATTACTGTATATTCTCGAACGCAGCTGTCCAAATACGTTTCGAATTCAGGTAAGTTCATAATAGACTTATCGTTTGTTGTTTCTTTGAACTACAGTACAACTGTAAATGAAAATACTCTCGGAATTTCTGTAGTTTCAGGTGTTCTAGACTGTTACTTTAGTCGACTTCATTAAGGAATCTGTATCCAAGTATATGTTAAGAGGATATGTATCACTATATTTTGTTACCAATTTTTATTGTTTACCACATTTTTTATTGTTTCAGGATTTTCCGCAAGTCCTAATTTATGCTTTTGGATTATAATATTGGCATATAGTTTTATATGTACAGCAATAAGGAGCTTATGAGGATCGGTTTTTCCGCAGTGATATTAATATAAGTGTAGATATCGTCGCCACAAATGCGATTGTATTAACTAAAACATTAAATGTATAAAGTTTTAGATTTTATTCAATAAACGTAAAATTTGTTTTAAATAAATTATAGATAGGGTAGGAACGTGGATGTGTCAAATGAGAATCATTATTTTTTTTACATTCCGAATACATCAAACTGTAATATGAAGCGTTCATTAAATTGTTATAAAATATATGTATTAAATATAATAGATGGAAATATAAAATAAATATATATGTAAATGTATTAAATTATGTAAGCAGTTTAGTTAGGACATTTAATGCAAATTGATTGATTTTCAATTTTGTTATTTAGTTTATCTTTGAAAGCTAAAGAATTATTAAAATGACTGAATGTTTTTATGCTCAATAGAATTTTTAACAATTTCCCAAAAGTTATTTGACTGTTGCGGTTTTGAGGAAATTAGCATATTTCTCTATTCCCGGAAAAATTCTAAACATCTCATGAATACGTCCATCGCTGAAAATTTGTTTTTGTTAGTAAATGAAAAATGTATAGCTACTTTTATTTAGAGGTTACATAAATTGATTGAAATATGTTTATATTATTTTGTATATAAATCTTTCTCTAAAATCAACAATAATAAAGTTGGTTAATAACTCTACTAAAAATACCATAATTTGACAAACAAGAGACTATGGATATGAATGTAAATTAATCTTTGTTTTAAGCAAAAAATGTATTATCAATAAACAATACAAGGGATTTTACTTTTTAGATTACATTTGTTTATCCTATTGCGTAATTTAAAATTTATTTAGGAAATATTTAATCCATGTGCTAATATTGATTTATTCCTCTACCTAGATGTTGATTAGTTTATGTAATTAAATAGGCATTAATCTATGGCTGTGTTTTTTCACATAAGATAACGTCAATTCTTTGCACGATCGTCTTCTTAACTTAAATGTACATTTATGTCACATCGTTGTTTTGTTTTATTTACTGTAACTAAATGGGATACGTAAATAAAATATTGAGAGAGTACACTCGTCGTTTTTTTATTCCTTTTTTTAGTCACAGTTTAGTTTTTATTCTGTTGCCTGTTAATATTTGAATCAATACTGGCTGGATATAAAAGAAACATAACTAACGTTTAAAATTCGAATTACGAATACAAACCAATTCTTACACACGCACAGTTTGAATTGAATAGTCGAACTGGGCAAGTGTAGGCAAAAATTTGTATAAGATTAAAGCTATTAATGCTTCTGTAATTACTAAAATAACAATTTAATAAAAACGTTTTCTACGTATTACACGTGGGTAGTACTTGTGAATAAATTACCATACATGTATCGCGAAAACTATTAATTCCCTGAAGGCAAGATACTAGGAAACTATTTTAAAATGTAATTAGTTTAATAGGGAACGTATAATAATGACTATTAAATGTCAAGATGAAATAATGCCTTATTGAATGTCAAGTAAAAGCGCGCACACCTTTGACAAAACTATCGTACAACTGTCTAGTCGCGCTTTGATTCCTATGAGCATATACGAAGGTGCGCACACTACTGCATTTTTAGTTGTTCAAGTAAAGAGTTGAAATGGCTGCAAAACAATCGACAATCGCACTACAGTAGTGCGATAGTTTAGTCGAAGGTGTGCGCCCGCTCTAGAACGTCCATTGGGCTGTTCGGTCCACCAATCGATAGAAACAATAGAAATATTTTTCCATTAGGCCGATTTCATGCAATCGAAGAAGAAGATCTCGAAGATTAATCAATGTTCGTGTCAAGATAACTTCTGTCCGTTAGAATTTTCCGAGTTTTGAGCAAAAAGATAAGTGTAATGTCCCACGAAAGCGTAAACAGTTTAAAAAGATCGAACTATCGAATTGTGAAAGTTAAAATAGATGCACAGGTTTAGATTTAGAGGATACTTTGAGAGAACACATAGGTTACATACACATACTTACTTTTGTTTTTTTTTATTCCACACGGATGGAGTCGCGGGCGAAAGCTAGTAAGTTATAAAAAAGGATGGTTTATTACAATCAAAAATATTTCAGTAAACAATAGGTTCAGGAGTGGAAAACAAGTAAAATATTGAATAAAAAGTGCACAAAGGAATTCCGGTGAATTATTCATAACACTTTGGCTAGTTATGTTAATGGATAAAATAAAAGATAATGTGTCAACTGCATACCCTTGGGTGTACGTTAACTGAATATTGCGGACAACTAAAACATTTAAGGTGTAGTTTTTGTAATGAAACAAAGGGAATCGGTATTGCAATTTCAGAATGCTTACGACACATCCCGGAAAAGCTTTATGAATTATTGAAAATTGAAAATGTTTTTTGGATCCAAATTTTTAAAAGTAATAAATGAAATATGAAAACGCGTTTTATTTTTAGTTTTAATTTTAAATAGTAGTAATAGTAGATGTATTTCTTGAAGCAAAAGTGGTACAAACAATTACCATAAATAATTAAATAATCTCTAAGTACACATAAAAGAATCGTTCAAATATATCACAGTGAGGTCAATGCAATTCACAGTTTTCGACTTTTATTATTTAAGTTGGTTCATTTGTTGTCGCAGCTGGTTTTACGTTCTCCGACCGCTGTATTAGCGAGCTAAGTAACGAACTTAAGTGCAGTTGAATGCAGCTAAGTTTTCAACTTTCTAACGCAAAGGGAACTTTCAACATAAAATTGCGGAAGTAATGGTTTAGGTTACAATACTTTATATGAAGTTACTCAATCTTAACTCATTTATATCATAAGGTTAATTACAGAATCAAAACTATACATATGTTATATTCAAATTATGTACAATATATAATGCAAATCTATATTAATATAAATCTTAATCTATCTATCTATCTATCTATCCTATCTATTCTATCTATTCTATCTATACTAATAAAGCGTAAACACGCACTACTTCGTGGCGTAGGATGTCAGCAATTACAGCATATTTTTGAATAATACTTTCTTTAATAAAAAGCCCTACACTTACGACACGCTTTAGACTATACATTTTCACGCTATTAAACTTAGGGGCAATTAAATTGGAATTAAACCTTCATGTGAGAAAGAGACCATAAAGTACAAGCTGCCAACATCAAGGAAGCAAGGCTGCCATAGTTTGTCATCATGTCATGTCATTTTGACATTGATAAATTGACAAATGTAAACAATATTTTTTTTTCATAATTTCATGCGGATGAAGCCGAACGGGAACAGCTAATAAATAATATTCCAAAATCTTTTTTTATGTCATTGTACGTTAGTGAGTTCGTTAACTCAATTAAAGAAACATTATTTTATAAACATCTATAAAAATAAACGTACGAGTAATACTAGTTATAAATATTTAAAAATAATTTACACCACTAGTTATTTTTGCAAGCATCTAAATAAGTTACTAAAGTTTAGAACGTCTAATAAGTCTTCTTCACAGAGATTATTTCTCCTCAAATCTCGCGTTGTTTCATTAAAACTTACAGCAAAACAAAAAGGGAATGGGCAAATTAAAACATGAAAGAGGCCCCGCTGGATTATGACGCGACTCTAAACTGTCACAAACTGATATTAAAGAACTTTGTTTTGTCCTAAAATGTAGTATAAGAAGTTAAGCTTTAAAATGACAAAGACAAAGTAAGTCTTTTTAAAAGTTTTCATTTTATTTTTAGCAAATGGTGTCTGGAGAGTTAATGTTATTAAAAATATGTGATGATAATCTCATGTACCATATTTGATATTTCTCATACATTTAATCTGATTTTTATAGGTTATTGTTACTTTAAATATGTTACTTTCATCAAAAAGTCACGGATAACCTTTTAGATAGTAATGGTTATTGACTTTTAACAGAATTAGTGGTCAAGCGCTGGTTTATACATGATAAAAAAATAATCCGTTAGCGATACGATATCTCCTATGTATAATTATACTTATTGCTAAAATCTTTATCTTTACTAATAAATCTTTACTTCTATACTATTATAATAAAGCGTAAACACACACTACTTTGTGGCATAGGATGTCAGCAATCGCAGCATATTTTTGAATAATTCTTTCTTTAATAAAAAGCCCTATACTTACGACATCATGTGGGATTCTCCATGTGGGAAAGGGACCATAAACTACAGGCTGCCAATATTAAGGAAGCAAGGTTATTATGGTAACGGTTATTTTAAAATTTGTAATTGAGAATTTTACAAATGTAAATAAAAAATAAGGTTTCTTGTAATTCCATGCAGATGAAGCCGCAAGGGAACAGCTAGTTATAAACACAAATTCGTTCACATGTATTTCAATAGTAAAATCCCGGATCTTGTAGAAAATTAGTTCCGAAGGTTGGTAGCTGAAAGTTGCCAATTATAACATTTAATTAACTTCCTCGCATTCAAACTCGCTACAAACTTTCATAACTCAGTTCCGTTGAATTGTTACACGTCGTACAATGCACAATAAGTCTCTTCATAGTGTAGACTA